CAGGACTAAGCCACTCAAACTGAAAACTTGAAACGAGCTCAGCCCCAAAAGCTTGTCAGTATGAAATAGGAAAACAGGGTAGAGATGGAAGAAAAGGCCAAAACTCTGGCTTTTCAGTCAAATGCTAGTCTGCTGCTCACTTCAGCGATACAAGACATTGAACTGGTATGCCTACTTGTCCAAATCCAATAGCAGTCTACTTGCTGGGCAACACTTTTGCATAAATCACAGTTTTAACAGAAATTATTAACAGCAAGACTAGCTTTACTTTACCTTTCATTCTGCATAACTGTTGGAAACGTCTAAATTTTGCTATCATTTTAGAAGAAAACTTGAAGGAAGTGGAACATATGCATGTTCTGGCTGCCCATCCATCTGTCTGTACCAACTTTCTTCCTAATAGCTTTTGAACTTGCTGGCCAATTTGAAGCACATTTGCTACAAGCAGAGATTTCTGAAGGATGTGTCTGCAGGATTGGTAAAACTCAGTGGATAGTTAGAAGAAAGATCCACCAACACTGAACATGTCCCATCCTTTTCGTTCGGCCAGCCAGCCAACCAGTTGGCATACGTGTAATTCAAAGACAGCCACAATACAGGCTGTCGCTTGGACAGCGAATGACATAGGGGTGTGGGAGGGAGTTCAGGCACTGCAGGGAAATTATGGAGACAACTATGGGAACGAGTCACAGGGAACGTGGAGAATGCTGCTGTGATAGGGTATGCAGAAGACAAATCCCTGGAAAAATAAGATTCAACAATTTCACAGGGATTGTTTTCTTTATTTTTGGATTTTGACAGTTCAGGGATGCTTGTAGATGTTTGGATGTGAAAACATAATAAACCTGGGACCTGCTGAGTTAACTCTATATAGAGAAAGAGAAGCAATATCACCAAATTTCCCATGAGAACCTGCAGTTCCTCTAGGAGTGATCCATTTCTTTCTCCTTCAGGCACAGCAGTTCCTCCAGGAGAGAAGCGTTTCTGTTTTTCTTCAGGCACTTCAAAGCATTGGAAATTGCATCCATAGAAGCCAGCCACGTGTCAGGGCTGGTCAGCCAGTTCCTTGCGTTCCTACAGTGCCTCCTATCGAGCAACCTCAAAGTGCTTTACAGAGACTAACAAATAAAGGCACACGTGTCAAGACGACATCTATTGTTACTGAACCTATGGTATACACAGGGTAAAACAGAGCATGGAGAATTAATTATTGTTCTAAAATTCAAAATGAAACATAAGGCATGAAAGCAGAACCTGTGTCTCCTGGCCACCCTGCCTTCGTTCTTAACCCACAGTCATCCTCACTATTTCCTGTTGCTTGAACAGCACAAGCGTTAGAGATCTAGTTATTACTAAAGTAAAAAAAAAAAGTTATCTATTTGAAAAGCAAAACAACCAAAAACCAGCTGGTACATCACACACCTCCTTTTCCCCATGGTAGATTTCCTCCTTTTCACCACTAGCACTTTTTGCTTTTGAAACACATCATTATGGCTGAATGCAGTCAAAATAGCTCTCCTCATAATGATGCAACTGCCTTGTAATACATGAGCGTACCCTCAACACTAGCATAGTAAAATACAATCCTGGTTTCAGATGCTAATATTACTGTTGTCAACAGTTTTATTGTCTAATTGCATTAGCTGTATCTTTCCTATTCAACAGGCTGTGGGGGTCATGATACTGGATTTCAATAGGGATGCAGCTGGCCAAATTTCTGATCCTAAAATTCAGGGCAAAGCATTTCAAACTGCAGGAAGACGAGAACTATAAATATTGCATACTAAATCTGCATGCAGGGGGCCAAAAAGGGGCTGACAGAGCTTGACATAATCTTCATAAAAGAGAGAAAGGCAGGAGGTGCTCTTCCATGACCTCTTACGGGAGGTGGGTGGGCATCTTGTAATCACAACTTCACTGCAGGGAGAACAAAGCACTGCAACAGTTTTTCATGGAATACTGGCCAAGCCATTTAAAATTAGACATCTGCTCATTTCATCCTTGCGTAGATATCTGTGAAATACAGCCAAAATTGTTACTAAATCATGCATTGGGTGCTAGGCAAAGCTGTGCTGGGTTGCGTGACATCAAGCAAGCGAAAGAAAGTCTGGTGATTATACTGTCCTTACGCAAAAACTACATTATGCCCCAAGTTTGCTGCAGTGGAAAGTCATAAAATATTTTCTTGGTTATTGACCAAATTCTGACCTCAGATACAGAAATGTAAATCCAGGGTGAGTCAACTGCACTCAGAGGAGACACTTCACATACAAACTTGCTAAAGGGAGAGCAGAGTCTGGGAGCAGACATCTGCCTTTACTGAACATTTCTGCCAGACTTAAAAAAGCAAAGGTGATACAAAGATGTGGAGAAGCAATCAGGATTGAAAGAAATATACAAACAGTCTCAGACATTTTGTAAACCCAGGTTTATAAACTCATGACAAAAAGAAAAAAACCTGATACAGCATATTTTGACTTGCAAATAGGCTGTTAAAAATCACTTCAGTCTATCTACTGCCTTATGCAATAGAAAGAGAAATGTAAAAAGAAGTTATTCTGTAATTTTACATGAAAAAATACGGTACAGCTATCAAGTTCAACGAGCCCTGTGCTCCCCTACTTCTGCCTGTCACTCCAAAATACTGTGAATGGGAAGGTGACATATACCATTGTAGATTAGACCGACGACAGACTGAACGGTAGCACTACTTCCAGGGAAATAAAATGGCAAAATGTTCTTGCTCCTTCTTTGAACGAGGACAATGATAAAGAAGAAAAATATTTACTCACCTATGATGGTCTTTGGCACTTATTTACCTACCGCCTTTGAGATCTGGAGTGTTCTTACCGTTACGGCCTGCATAATAGGGCAGAACAACTTTTCTCTTTCGTAACTGAGGAAGTTCAGGCATACAGAGCTAAACGAGCCTGCCCAAGATGACAAGCCTCTTGGAAAACAAAGCATCATTTCAGCATTTTCTAAATTAAAATTAGCACTCTCGGCAAACATCCTTTCTTTTGTTTCCCCTCTTGTGTTGGTACTAAAGAAATAAGAATTGGGAAAACATATCCTGAAGTGTTAACTCCACAATAATTACTGAAGACAAATTGTAGCCTTTGGCAGTTTTTCCTGGGATGTATTTAATAGTAGCTATTATTTTGGTTATTTTAGGGTATCCTTGACTTCTCTAAAATCCACAATTTTCTCTATTACTGTAAGAAAATACAAACAGGAACTATCACAGCAATGCTAATCCTGTGTGGGAAACTAGGACCCATAAGTGAGAAGGGAAGTTGTTGAGAGAATCTCAACTACTGATATAACCCTGTAGCTGTGAGGATACGAAGGTGAGGAAAGTGTGCTTTTTATGGAAACGTTTAACACAACAACAGGAGTACAAATCAAGCTCCATTAATTTAACTTTAAATTTTAATGAATCAGGATGTGTAGTTTATATAAAGGATTTACTTAATAAAATATTAATATTTTTGCTAAAAGAACTGCAAATTGCAAGTTAATATAGTTTTCTTTAAATAGAACATCAAAAGTTGAAAACACACTGAAATAGCATACAGCAAATCTAAATGAGCCAAAATTCAAGAAGAGCAAAATATTGTGGTCAGTCTCGAAGACTGGACCCTTGGTAATCCACGTGAATTACTTCATTTAACAAGAGACATGAAAACATTAAAAATAAAGAGAGAGTCAGTCCTGCATTCAGTTACACTCCAAACGACGGTGGTGTGCTCTACCTCGGTAGCCCGCAGCTTGCAGCCCAGCTGAAGAGCTGCATAGGAGGAACGGCAGCTCAGATCTCCCCACAATTAACGGGTCTCATCCCCCCGAGTGCAGCAGGCGTTATGCCAGGTCCACGCACAGAGACCCGAGGCACAAGCCACAGTCGCAGCGACCACGCGCTGCGTGCCAGGTATGCCCTGGCCGCCTCTCGAGCGTGCGTCAGGGCTGGACCATGCTCGCACAGCCTTCCCTTTCACCCTGCACACTATTTTCAAAAGAAAGCCGGCAGCAGAGGCAGGGAAGGAGCCGTAACACAGCAAGGATGGACGACGCCAGGAGAGGGAGCTGGTATAACCTCATGTGAGGACTTTGACTGAGAGAGGAAAACCCTTTTGTAGCAACTGGCATTTCACTTCGGGAATACCTTGATTTTATTCAGGCTCTGTTGCTGAAGAGCAGTCAAACTGAACTGAAAACACTGTCTTTGTGCTTTAATAACAATCTACAAGGAGTCAAATAACTACAAGGTTAAACCAGCACTATTTCTCCATGTATTTGGGGCTCAAGCAACCTGCAGAAAGTCAAGCAGGAAGCCTGAACCCAGATCTCCAGAGACCTGTCACAGCCCATCCTTGTACAGATGAAGTTGACAAAAGAGTCTCCAGCTTTCTCAGCCACCAGTTGTGGTTTTTTCATCTGGGAAACATCAAATTAACTTGGGGGTCTTTGATCACCTGCTTTTAAGTGCTTGTTTTTCTTTAGGCGTCATTACAAAAAGGCCATCCCATTCATACGGATTTCTTTGCTATGTGCTTAAAAGTAATACCGGAAAAGTGAGTCACTCAAAAAACGTTTAGTTTCAGCTTTCCTAAAACTGGAAAAACTGAAGAATATAACTAGAAAAACTGAAGAGCATCTGCAAATGAAAGCCCATAGGTTTCAAACTAAAATACATTAGTGCTTCATTTTCCAAGTTGGCAACTAGGGACTTCAGACACACAAAAGTAATAAAATTTGCATGATCACCTAATGTCTCTATTAGTCTGAGGAGCTTTAGTACTCAGGGTACAGACAAAAGGTTGCAGGACAGAGTGAAAGAAGATAACATGCAAAAAAAAGAACGCATTATGTAGCTGCGAAGAAATAGTAAAGATCTCTATTAATTTTTGCAGGATGAAAAAAAAAAAACCCCAAAACCAAAAAACATTTAGTGACTGTACCTGACAAAAAAGTGCAAGCAAAGAATAAAATGGACTCACGTTAAGCTGGAGGTCATCTGTCCACTGGCCGATGAGGCGGTAGCCTGGGGTGCTGGTGTTGGTGGTGTGGTACTGGAAGATGTCGTAGCGCCCCGGTGCATCGCCATTTTTGTTGAACATCACTGGAGTGCCAGCACTGCCTGAGGGAAGAAAACAAGACAAAAATCCAACCAAACAACCAACAAGAGCCAAATCTTTACAGTATCTATTTGATTTAGTCATGGTTGAGAGCTTTTGGTCTGGCAATGCATTTCAGGCAAAGGTCATCTATCACCCCAGCCATCTAAAACGGATGCTTCAGGACACAGTGGCATCATCTGAGACCTCTTCCAGAGATTAATTATCACTGCCCAAACCTACTGACTGAAAATAAAACAAAGCAAAACTAGATCAGCCTTACTTCACTCTAGCTTTGCACAAAGCAAGAAATATCAGAAAGGCTTTTCTTCCTGCCCCCCAGCCTCTCTCTTTCCTCAGGGAGTTCTTTAGTGAAAAACACTCCTGTGAATGGAGCTTCTAAATGATTTCCCCCCTCCCTCCCTGAAAATGTTCCATCTGCTTCTGAGAGATACTGTTGTCAGAAGTCAGCCCAGGTCTAGTGAATCTTGACTAGCATCCAGAAATAGCTTCCTCCTCCACAATATGTTCTTATTCCTGTAATCAGCATGCAGTTGGGATGGAAAAGAACAGACTAAGCTATAGGAAGACTGTTCCTTGTGTACTCCCTTATTTAGGTTCTATGACACCGACACAGGCTGAAAAGTATCTCAGTCAGGAACTGTTCAGGATCAGGATCCTGAGTTAACTTTATTTGCTATATACTAAGCTGACTAACACAGGTAAAGAAGTGCAGGGCAAGCAACGAGGCAAAGATACCCCCACAACCCTTCCTTTGCGCCTGCTGCTGAGCAAAGCCAGCTGGCAGCCTGGAGGTGCACCAATAGCTGAGCGATGGGACAGACGATTCCTGATCCTCGGGCGAGTTCTTACCGAAACATCTGCATTTTAATTACCATGGCATTAGATGTGAACCCTTTCTCAGATAAGAATTCAAAGCAGCATTGCATTTCCTCAGATATCTCGGTGAAAACTTCAAGGGTGACATTTATTTCAAGACATATTAAAACAGGTTTCAGTAGGGTAGAGTAATATTGTGTCAAGATTGAAGATTATGACAATACTCCAGCTTATCTATATTCAAAGCTTCCTCCTCCTGCGTAACTTTTTTTCCCTAAAGCAATGAAAAATCTCTACTGTTGTAGCATTGAACTTTAAGATTATAGTTTCTTCATGATTCCCATTCTTCATTGAATTCCAGCGAGTGAAAAAAAGATTTGAAGGAGTGAATTAACATAGTTTCCATTCTAGCCCTGGTAAATTGTTTCCTGTCTATCCTACAGTCCTCCGAGATCAGATAGAGATTCAGTACAAAGGCTGGTACAGAAAATCTTCCACTGAAATCTCCCCTCACTGCTTCTTTATGAGCACTGGGCAGATATTTAATTGTCATTACAGATTAATGCAGCCAGAATACATTTACAGTGAAAACACTTAAAGTGAATAAGAAGAAATGGCTGTAATTCCTAGGCTCCTTCAGAAAGTCAACACTAACGGTAAATGGGATTTAGCTAATCATGACTCTTAGAAGGCTGTATATTTTGCTTGGTTTTATCAGAGCTGACAAAAAAAGTACAATTCAAAGGGTAGGGGCTCAAGTGAGGCTCACAAAATGCAACATAAACATTTGTGGATTCTCCACATCCTGACAAAACTCCAGCACAGACATGAAGAAGTGTCCATGTCTGCATGTCAAGAGGCAGACTGAGCAGACACCATCACCACGGCCATGCCAAAGTCAACAGTGCTGTGGCAAACACTGCTGCCTCGAAGTCTTCTGTAGGCTGAGGGGAAGAGGCCAAGAGCACATCTACGGTCACCTTCATGGGCCATTGGGAATGTTGCCCAGAACCCTGCTGGCTAAGCCATGGCCACCCCACTGCAGTGCATGGGGTAAAGCCAAGCCTCTCCATCCCCTGTCTGGGCACCCAGAACAAGTTACCTGCAGACAGTGCTGGCCCAAGCGGTGGGCAGTGGACAACAGGGTCAATAAGCAGAAGGCCAAGGTGAAGGATAGGTGCTGTTATGGACCTAAGAGGTCCTAAAGTGAGACTGTATCAGGAACTATCACTCAAAGATGTTTGTGTTTTACAGGAGCAAGAAAACTTTTTGTAGGTTACTGCTAATTGTTGCTTTGCGTAGCTGCATGCAGACAGCTTTTAAACACTGACATTTAAAATAATCCTTAAGATCAGTGGATGCCCTTGGGTGCTACAGGGCTGCAGACTCCACAGCAACACTGCACGATACAACATTGTCTGCTGGGTCACCTCCAGAGGCCCCTAAAGGCACAGTCCCTTGGGACATGGACCTCATGCGTGGATACGGATACTTGATAGTCAGCTGTAAACACCTGTTGCTATTTTCAGGTACATCACCGTTTATGCGTTAAAATTACACAGAAAAAAGCTGTGAAAAGTGATGAATCTGTAGGGAAGACGAACATCTATAGAAACACAAAGAACTGATATCCCAGGTCATATGTCAAGCAGAAGCATCCCGTTTCCTGACTTTGGAGTTGGAGTAATTGGACTCCTGGCCAAGGATCTGCTTAGTAAGTGCAAGCCTTCTTTAACCTTTGTGTGGGCTCTGGTGCATGCTTTGGTGCCCTTTTTGTACAATCTGTCTGTAGGGACCTGTCAGTCCTGTTTTAAATTGCTACAGCATTTCAGTCTCCACTTGCAATTCAAGTTCCTTTGTGCACTTATGAAAATAATAAAAAGCAATGTATGAAAACCTCATTACAGAGAAGAAACAATATTTTCAAAAATTACCCTATTTGTTATTTGACTTCTTGATCTTCTAATTACTAAAACATACAGTTGTTTAGTTATTTTTTGATAATTTAGGGTTTATTTTCCTTCTATTAAGATTTACAAGAATTTTGCTCAGCCCCAGCAAGCACTTCAGAAACTGAGTATTAGTCTCTAGACTGCCGCTTCTTGCTCATTCAAAGGCTATGACAATTTAATTCATCTTCAGTTCCCAACAAATAAGCTGCCTTCTCGCTACACAGACACAGAGTACATGACACCGTCTCACCTGCAGGATGCATTCAAAAAGGACAGGATCTGACTGAATTTGTAGGATTTTGATCTCTTAATCACCACAAGATGAGAAATGAATTAACAGCAGAAGGACAGGGTGCTAGACAGGTGTAACTAGCTAAGGTGTTTATTATTCAGCTCATGTTTATTGCAGTTTGAGGACCTGAAGGGCTGATAGGAACAGAATCTTTAGCTTTTTCACTGGCAAAAATACAACCACTTTGGGATTTTCAGAATCTCACTGCATGAACACTTGGGGTTTTAAGTTTTCCATATTTTGAGCCTTTGTGTTCTCAAGGTAGTGCGACGATATCAAAAGTCATACTGAGCTCCTAGTACAAATCCAGTCTCTCTTCATTAAAGCGTTGCTTGAGCTCTTTCTGCATGAACGTCATTACCTTTGCAAGGAAGAAAAGACTCCAAAAGCAGGTACAGACAGCATGATTTTAACTGCACGGTGACAAGATGATCTATTACATGCAAAGAAGATCTCAAGCTTATGGGCTCAGGATGCTTGAAAATGGGCTACAATTTTTCCTCTCTGACACACAGTTCGGACAAAGCATCTATAGAAACACACTTCCTGTTTTTACTACAAATTTAGTAAATTTGTAGTTCTCCCAGGAAACTGGGAGAACAGGATTTTAAGCATAGACTAAATATTGTTTTCCAAGTCCTAACCTTCATGAGATGGAGTTGCATGGCTGCACCGGTGACTCAGGGAAGGGCAGATTAAGATCAAGGCTAAAACCAAGACAGCTGACACAAGCTCAGCAGTGCACTCCTCTGTCCCTGCCCTCCCAGCCATGACGTGATGGCCGAGGAACACACAGGCACCAGCACCCATGTCCCAGGGGCTCCCAGGCTTTGTCAACAAGAATACACCACCCAAACCAGCCAAAGCCTCTCTCATTGCTTCTTCCATTCCCTCATCCCTCTGCATTTTTCAGGCTGGCCTCCTCCATTTGGTGAGTTATACGATGGGTTGCTTATCCTGCGCCACCGGGAAGACTGAACCAACCCACAGCAGTTCTGGGAACTTACTTTTATATAATACCGAGAAGAAACTGACTTCAGAGCATCTTTCCATAGCTCGAGGAACGAGCCCCAGGAGGGTTGCAGCTGAACATGGAGCCTGGGCACACCAACACATGTGCAGTTATACACTATGAATGCTACAAGAAAGAGCTAAACTCTGCACCTGGATAATGAACCTTAAAAGGAATTGGTTCTTTTCCCACGGAAAATGCCTCCACCCAGATAGCTTTAAACCTTTTAAATTTCTCTTGGCTATCTCAGTTTTGCCACCATTCCCCTTCCCATGCTAAAAAGCAAACCACTACTTCAGTCCCTGTGCTGGACATGAGTTCCATGTATATAAGGAAAGAAAAACACCATACAGCCATGTAAATCAATCACAAATGGAGGGGAAAAAGGTCATCTCTTAAAAGCCTGACGAAGGAAACACAAATAAGGAAACCGAAGTTGGTGCAAACCAATTCTTGGAGCTGGACAGTAGGCAACACTAGCTGGACACCAGGCAACACTAGCTGGACACCCAATTTCTCATAAGTTATTTCTCAGCTCTATTAAAATTATTAGATGACCGTTCACCATCTTTATGTACAAGAACTGTCAGGAGATCATAGATGACCATGTATGAGCTGCTTTCTAGGACTAAAATGGCCCAAGTGCAATACTGTACACTTCTACAGGAGCTTTGTCCTTTATAATTAACCTTCCAAAATGAGGAAGGTAGAACTCTCCAGACCCCCTCAGATCATTCATCTCAAAATTTGCTCTTGGCTGTAGTTAACATCACTTCCTTCAAGGAAAGAAATTAAAATTTCCTCATATTCACCTTGCTGTTTATAAGATGATTTATACAGTAAGGAAAAATATCCTTGGCACAAGTGACCACGTTTGACCATGAAATACTGTCAATACTGTTCCTACCTTTAAATCTCTCAGGTCCTATTGGCTATGTGTGGGTTTTGTTAAGTTTATTAATAAAAATGTTTATTAGTAGATTGCAGCAGGAACGCCTCCCTGGGCTGCCCAACGAGAACGTGAAGCTTACACAAACCCCTCTTCCCAGGCAGCGACAGCCCTGGCTGCCTTGCACATTTTAAAAGGATCTTTTTTCAGTACTTCCCTACATTTGTTCTAAATATGGATTTGGAGATCTAACTTGTGGCTCCTGGTTAAATCTCAGATCTCTATCTTATACACAGCTAGAGCAAGAGCAGTAAGACCTTCTGGTAAGTACATTAGCAAGGTTTATGAAGGGGAAATAACATTAGGTTGCTGTAATGTTACCTGCTGTAAGCGATCTGCTCTGGTGCCTTCTGGGCTGGCTGCAGGTGAATGTTTGTTAATGAAACTAATAAAATTAGAGTAAAACATATAGAGGCAAGGAAGTTTTGCTGATATTTATACACTGCAATGAAGAGAAAAATACATGAAAGCCCGTTGTACTGTATGAAACAGAGGGCTAGTATTACAACCATCGCTGCCACGCTTGGGAAGCATAGGTGGATAAATGATAAGCAGACAAAGAGATAAAATTCTCCCACCCACATTCTCAGGATGTTCTGTCTCCTCTGAAGTCCCACTAGAGGGATGAAGGTTGGAGTAGCTACTCTGTCTAAACCACTTAGTTCTGGCTCTGCAAGTGGACCTGGCCCTTTAGCTGTCCCCTCCCTTCTCTTGAGCGTGCAGCTTAGCTGGGTTCAAGGTACCAGAATTTCATCCAGTTAGTTTTCGCTAAGTACAGGAAACAATATAAAGAAAGAAGAAAAATGATGTGTTATGCTAACAAACTTCTGGGGTTTCAACAGGCATATTTAGTCAGAGACAAGCTCAGGCTTTTATCCAGCTATTTCTCTCACAGGAAATCAGTCTTCTGGAAGGTATCCTAAAATAGCAGCAGCAATTTCTGTCTTTGGACAGTAGTAGCCTATTTGCCTTGGCTAAAACAAGGCAAGTTAATAAATAACATGCTCATCTGCCACAAACTCTAGAGAAACAATAATTAAAAAAAAGTCTTGATCTGCATTGAATGAAAAAAATTCAAAATTAAATGGAAAAAAGCCACAGGAGTAAATATGCTACTGAAGAAGCAGTCTCAGCTCACCGTTGAAGTTAACGCTGCGTATGTACTTGAGCAGCTTTTTGCCTCCCGCGTGCTCCATCTCGGGGCAGACCCCCGGGTAGTCGGCACAGAGGTCCTTGTTCATGTGGTGGAGCGCGTGTGCCATGGCGTACACAGCATCGATCACAAACTGGACCTTCCCCTCCTGCTCATAGTGGGAGTCTTTGCCAATTCTCTCCTGTCCTGCACGTCAAAAACAAACACACACACACAGAAGGACAGTAAGGAACAGTATTTTCCTGAGATCAAATACAAATGAATCCTCTCAGAGCACATTTAAAGAACTACATGTTTTAGTCAATACAATAAAATACTTTGAGTTATGGTTTTACTAATTAAAACCAAAACAAACCTCCTTTCTTGATAGTAGAATCATCAATACTTCTTCTTGCACGTTATTCTACCCTAATCCAGAGAAACAAATTCTACCATAATCACAGACTTGAAACTCTAATCTACAGGGACCATGCTAGCGAGAAAACACCAGGCTCCGTATGCTCCCAAACTATGTCTTTGAAAGAAGAAAGCACTTAAAATAAAGCACAGCTGGTACTTTAAAGTCTGACGGTTTCTTCTGTTGCAAATCCCAGTCTCTAATTGAAAGACAGAGCCAGGTTGAGGGAAGAAAGAATCACTTCAGACGCAACTGAAGGGGCACTCCAGAGAATTGAGCGAACATGCCTGCTATTAACGCCACCTCGGGAAGCTCAGTATGTTTGCATTAACTATGCACCCCCCTTCCCTCCAACCTGCAGAGACTGAAATGTCCTTCAGAATCTACTGATTGCCTTTACAATATTTTAGCAGGCAAGAACTTAAGGAATCCAAACGCTTAATGTCATCCTAACTGCAACGGGGGGAATGCAGTGTTTTGAAAGTCATTCCTTGATCGCTGCAGCGCCCAGCGTGTTAGAAACTACAAACCCTCTGCCTCAGAGATCCTCTCATCCAACAGGCCAAGGCATAAAAAGTCTGAGAGAAGGGAGGCACTCTGCAGATGGAAAATTGGAACACAGAAATTAAACCACAAAGAGCCAAAAGAACTCAATAGCAGTGACAAAGAAGGTGAATCTAAATATTTTATGTGGTAGGTTCGTGCCTTAACTATTCCCTCCCTCTCAGACTTGAGATGAATATGTAACCTGGCAACGTGACTGTAAAACCAGGCAATAAGGTGGCCTTCTTGCTTTTATGGTTGTGTGAACCGGTAACTGGGTGCCTCTGCAATTAAGCAGCAAACCAAACAGTATTTTCAGAGCTTAAAGCAAGGCACAACAGGTTAAGAATCAGGAATCTTTGGTTTATTTTTTTTTCTGAAATTGTCCACTAACTTCTTGTTTCACCTTGGCCAAGTAACACCTGCATGATTCAATCTGTCCAGCTGCAAAATGTGTGATTATACTTACCTATCTCAGAAGGGTTTCATGAAACATAATTACTGCTTGTGAAGTGTTCTGAGCTGCATCAATGAAAGCAGCAGAAGTGCAATCTATATTTTCCAAGGGTGGCAACACCACATCCCACTTGTTCCACCTGCAGCACCACACTTCTTTCTAACCTCACGTCGGTCTTGATCACCTTTCTGCAGTACCTGCAGGTCTGGGTACTGCCAGGAGCTCCAAGAAACCAGCCCTCAGAGTCATCTCTTGCAAATGTTTGAGAGACCTCCAATCAAAGTAAATGCTCGGTTGGAGGATACAAGCGGGGAAAATCCCTTTGTTAACATCCTTAATTAGAAATAGGGATGAGTGAATTTAAATTAGCTGGTTGATACCAATAAGGAAAGGAAGTCAAGTTGTTAATGACTGTGAGAACTAATGATTTTTAACAGAGGCAAGAAGCCCGTTCTCCTGTTGCTGCTCAGCTAACACGTTTGTATCTCTCCCTCCCGCGCTAATGAACGGCAGCTTTACCGGCACCAGACCCCGTTGTCCAGAGCCAGCCCGAGCCTCCTCCCTCCACGGCAGCACTGGGCTTGCAGAAAGTCGTCATCAGGGAGCAGCCCTGGTCTTCTCCAGCCTGACTTCCCTTGGGGCACTGCGTATCAAGCTGAATCATTTTCTAGCCAGCCTATGAGCAAAGTTTTTCAAGTTTTTTTTCGGCTCGTAAAAGAAAGGCACAGTGGAGCTGCAGTCCCCTCCCGCAAGTCACGCTTGGCAAAGTGATCCAGACAGTTTGCAGTAAATTCTGCTCATACGTCTCACCCCTTCTCCTACCCTCAAGGTGGCTTCATCTAGAGAGTTCACACAGTTCTGGTGCTGGCAGCTCTTTCTATAAATACACATACATCATGCTCTCTCTCTCTCAATAAATGTATATATTACATACAAATATTTAAATATTAAATGTATATTTAAAGTATAAATATTAAATATATTGTAATTAATAAATATATTTATAGAAATATATTGATTATAATATATTAATATAGGATTTATTTAGAAATATAGATAAAATATATACACACTTTTGCATACATAAGCAGTGTACATATATACACACTGTATACAGTCCAACAATACGGCTCCCAATCCAACAGTGAGGGTGTAGTTAACACCCAATGACTTCAATTAAACCTTGTTGATTGGTAACAAGTTAAGACAAAAAAAAACTTTCTATGATTTCTGCACTATAGCAGCATATTTTCTATATTTGATTCATTGAAAGATTAGACACACAGAAGAGGAACTGACCTATGTCACCAAATACCCATCAGTCCAGAACAATCCTTTTTCTTCGAGCAGAGAGGTGGTGGACCAGAATTATGAATAAGGACAGAGAGATCACCACCTTCTTACAGAAATTCTACAAGCACAAAGAATGTCTAAATACGTCCACCACAAGTGATTTGCTTGTAGATAAGCAAAGATATAACCCCCCTATATGAGCATATTTAATTATCTACATTTTTCCCCCCTCTTTTGTTTCTCTCCCTAATTACCAAACTGTACCATTGACGTCTGATCCGCTCAGCCTATGAATTATGTTTGAGATACCCTCTACGAAAGCCCCTCAATTTTAAATCTCATCTACACTGGAAACATTGAAATCCTGCAAATAATTCAGCAGGGTAAGAGAGCTTCCAGACTGTGAAGATCCACGTACTGTCCTTTTCATTATTTCACTCCCCTCTCATTGATTACAGACTTTATTACATTTCCAGGCCCTGACAAGGAAAATGCTTTTAAGTGGTTTCAGCTCAGCTACATAACCAAATTAGCAATGCAACAGAAATGCATGCCAAGGGATGCGAATCTGGGATTGAAATGCTGCACACAAACAATATTGATTAGGCATATTAAATTCCAGAAGCATGGCTGGCCAAATGCACAGCAGAAAGAAAACCTTTAACAGTGAAGATATCTGTGAAAGGAACCTGAGCAAAATCCACTTAAAAAACCCAAGAACAATGTTAACAGTGTCCAAGTATGAAAATAATAAAGATTTGAAAAACTTAACGGAATTTCCAGTGACAAGAATGCTTTTCTCTACAGAAAACAACCATTTAGTTGAGTATTAAACATCGAGAATTTTACAGTAAAGTCAAGGTATGGAGTCAAATGTAACTTCCCACCCAGAAAACATGCATGAAATTATACAATTAGAGCAAGAGTGTGCTATCCTTCATATAAACATAGCTTGAGTTACCTTTTAAAGAGACTATTGCAATTAGACGTTTAGCCCAAATTTGAACTAGCAAAGAATCTGCAAAGCAATTGCCATATTTTACATATGTCAAATAGTCTTCAGACTTCAACACTAAAAATAAAAAATATCCAAATTCATGGGCCTGACTGAACAGAGCGTGGGCCTGACTGAAGAGAGTGTTCCCTCTAGTTTACATCAAACTACCGTCAGAAGTAACCTAGTAAGCAGCAGATCAGGCCCAAAGTCCATTTTCAGACAGGGGTAAACCTAAGCGATGGGCACAATTTTAATTCCAACTTCAACATTAGTGTGGCAAATATTTTCCCTCTTTGGTTTAGCTGAAGAAGCTAAGCAGAAAGTTTTGCCGTGTGCTTCAGGAATAGCTCCTGTACATATAATTGAATTTGTATACACCCATTAATTATTCCTGGAAGAGAAAGAAACCCACAGACGTCATTAGCTTCTTACAGTTAAAAGCAGCAATACCGGTGCTGTGTGCACCTCCTGGCAAAGGGGCAGTCTTCAACCCCCAGCTCAGCCATGTTAGGACATCGTGGGGGTCTCAGGGGAGCGAAGCTTGGTGCAAAAGAACCAACAGGTGAACTCACGTGTTGGGTGCAGCAAGAAACCATGCAACCCTCCATGCTGTCAGAAGACACCAAAAAGCACAGAAGGTAAACATAAACCCCATTTGCACTGTGATGTGCGAGTCTTCTGCTCTTCTCACATGCCCCTGTTCTTTAAAGGTTGCTTTTTTTTTTTTTAACTTGGTGATCTTCAGGAGCCATGCACTAACATGATTTTCTTCAGCAATGAAGTAGCTGACACCCGAGACACATGCACACAAAGTGATTTCAAGAGAATGCACTTTTGTACCATGGATTTGAAATGGAGTACCTTGGGATGTCAGGAGAAGGATGAAACACAAAGGCAATTTATTGACATGAGCATTTTTTGCTTCCAAAAGATCTATTAGAAGGTGATGACAAATAATTTAACCTCACTTCCTACTAGACTCTCAAGTGCCCATCATCATGATTCCTAAGAGACTGAGCAGCTAGGTCTCTTGCTTCAGGCAAATCTTCACAAGAGAAAAATACTACAACAAAGAGAGGGGAAAAAAGCCCCAAACCCAGAGCAGTGAGAATACAGAGAAAGAAGTCCTCTTGTACAGTCTCCTTCAGATGACATAGAAATGAAATGCAAGTTTAAGAGCTCCTGGTCACACTTTTTGCATCTCCTTAAAGGCGATGCTTAACACCTCCTTGTATGGAAAAGGAGCTGACAACATTGGTTTTCACATTATGTTTTCTCAACATCTCTCCTTCAGTTGATTTTTCTGGACTCGTCGTTGATCATCACATAATGTAGGGGAGATGTTATGATGTATAAATAGTGTTACAAGGACAATTTTTATGGCATATAATTCAGACAGACAGACATCAAAATCTCACTTCATTGGTGCTTACATTAGATGAATTCAGACATTGGTTCAGTTCCTTTGAAAATGTGTTTAATCCTTCAGAAACTTACAT